CACGCCAACAAACTACGGCTCGTTTGATGCAAGATCGAGATTTCTCCAAAGCGGTGGGAATGGAGCTTACGAGGACCCTGAAATCGTGAGGCGTCACCTCGTACAGCCCTCTGATGCCCCAGATCCGACTGAGGACACGGAGAATGCAGACAAGACGAAAGGAAAACAAGCTGCCGACGTATCAGAACCTCCGCAAGAAGAAGACGAGTTCTCTAGTCTGAGACTTCAGGGTGGAGACGTCACGCGACAGATCTACAGGTGGTCCGAGGAGGCAGAAGGTCGCAACCGGCCCCAACGCAGCAAGAGCTTCAGTCATCCGCGAGAGGAGCCTGAGAACGAAGTCCTAGATATAAACAGCATCAAGGTCCCTGGAGGGTTCAGAAGAAACTACCTTCGAAGAGCTGCCCATAGCCCCTCTGCGAACCCGCGAAGCTTGGAAGACGGGCACGCTGCTTCTAAGAGAGGGAACGAACCCCAGCTCTTCACTAGCAGCTTCCTAGAGTTCCTTACAGTTTATGGTCATTTTGCGGGTGAAGAACTCGAGGAGGACGACGAGGTATTGGGTCCTGGTGAATACTTCTCGTCCGGAGAAGACTCGGATTTCTACGACTCAGAGGACGAACGAGAGCCGATGGAAGACAGCACGCTTCTGACGCCCTCGAAACGGAGGAGAAGGAGAAAGCCTCGCGGCGGCAGTGGCACGAATAGCCCCATGAGCGCTGCTCTGCTTCTCTTGAAGTCGTTCGTAGGCACAGGCGTCTTATTCTTGCCCCGAGCTTACTTAAATGGTGGCATGGTGTTCAGTAACGTCATTCTCGTGTGCTTGGCATCACTAAGTTACTACTGCTTCATTCTACTCATCACCACCAGGCTGAAGGTCGATGGCTCGTTTGGTGACATTGGTGGGATCGTCTACGGCGATTGGATGCGCAAACTCATTCTTGGATCTATCGTGCTCAGCCAGATCGGATTTGTTGCAGCTTACACGGTCTTCACGGCGGAAAATCTGCAAGCTTTCGTACTCGCAGTCTCGGACTGTAATACGCACATCCAGATCACCTATCTAATTCTCATCCAGATGATCATCTTTTTGCCATTCTCGCTATTCCGCGATATCGGCAAGCTTGGGTTCACTGCCTTGATCGCAGACGCATTTATCGTCGTTGGCTTGGCTTATCTGTTCTACTACGACGTCTTCACTCTGAGCACCAAGGGCTTGGGGGACATCATTCTATTCAACCAGAACGACTGGACGCTCTTCATCGGAACCGCCATCTTCACCTTCGAAGGCATCGGCCTCATCATTCCCATCCAAGAATCTATGAAGCACCCGGCCCAGTTCCCCAAGGTCATGTTCTACTCCATGATCATCATGTCGGTGATCTTCATCACCATGGGCGCCGTCTCGTACGCTGCTTACGGTTCTAAGACCGAGACTGTGGTTCTGCTCAATTTACCACAAGACAACAAATTTGTCAACGGGGTGCAGCTGCTCTACTCCCTCGCCATCTTACTATCGACTCCTCTACAGATCTTCCCAGCCATCAAGATCACCGAGAACGCTCTGTTCACCAAGAGCGGAAAGTACAATCCATACATCAAATGGCAGAAGAATATGTTCCGCTTCCTCATGGTATTCCTCTGCACGCTTATCGCTTGGGGCGGTTCGGACAATCTGGACAAGTTCGTGGCACTCGTTGGAAACTTCGCCTGTATCCCCTTGACCTTCATCTATCCCGTAAGCATGCCCCTTCTCACACAGTATCAGCTACCTACTGACAAATTCGACAGCCGATGCTACACTACAAGGCCGTAGCCAGGACGAGAACTCGCAAACTGTCTGACATCTTCCTCTGCATCTTCGGGTTCATGGCGATGGCCTACACGACTTCGCTGACTGTGATCTCATGGATCTCCGGTCCGTCAAAGCCACCGCCAGGCTACTGCGATACTAGACATCTTTGAGATGAGAAACCCCTCCAATAGACTTCCACATTTTGTTTTCTAGCATTGTACAATCATGGCATGGTCTCACATCACGTTGCCTCACATAGGATTCTGTTGCATAAGTACATACCCATAGCATGAGCATTCGGTGGAGAATGAGCGATTTCTAATAGACTGTGGGCCGTTCTCTAATACAAGTTCTTGAAACCGTACCGTATCCAGTCTCAACCGCCTCTCTAAATGACAAATCGGTATCATTCGTTTTGATTACCACACCTGTTTCGTTCCTTAACCTGCATTCCCCCAATCTGATTTGTATCTAGTTCGTACCGCGGGTGCTGCAAATGGCGCATCGGGTGTAAGTGTCACTCATGTGACCGCATGTCGTGTTTATTCCCCCAGATTGTATCTCTCGATCTGTCGTGTCCTTATAGGTTATGCCAACGCCACTTCAGGTCGCCATTCTCAGTCGCTAGAATCGAAGTGCGCTCATGTCGATTTCCATGTCCATATCAACGTCCATGGCATCCTCCACGGTGCCGCCATTCTCGTGCTGGGCCGCATTATTCTGCGCATCGATCTGATCCATGAGGGATCCCTGTGCCTCCCGAGCCTCTTGCTTGTCCATGTCTTCGTCCATCTGCTCAGCGACGCCTTTGTGGCCGTAGCGGGGGTTGCGGGGACCGAGGTCGAAGTACCAGCCAACCGGCGTCTCCATGTCGCGGGGCACGCGGGGCAGTTGCTCGTTCTCGTTGAGCTCGGCGAGATAGGGGTTGGGATTGGTGGTGGCACTGGCGCCATCCTCAATGATGGTTTCCACCTTGTAATTGGTGTCGTCGCCATCCTGGTTGGCCAGGGACAGACCGAAGTACTTTAGACGGATCTCATTCATCAAAAAGATGTGGTCCTCGACCCGCTCGATGTCCTCTTGGTTCGGGCGAGGGCCGAGGTTGGGGAGATCGTTGGGATCATAGCATTTATCGAAAGCCTGCTTAAAGGTGTCGAGTGCGGCCGACAGCTCGTTAGACGGCGCAGGGACGAGGCGCGGGTTGCGAAAGGTGGCGATGTAGAGGGCTCGGGCGTGGAGTAGGCGGCGTGTCAAAGCCCAGAATTGGTCGTAGGTTAGGCTATCAGCCCATTCACGAGACTCTTTAGTCTCGCCGAAGAAGTCCACTGGCTCCATGCCCTGGCAATAATCGACGTTGTCGGCGGCGTACAAGTACAGGTCAGCGAGCGCATGGGCGACGGCGAGCTTATTCTTGGTGTCGAGGCCTTTGGTGATCTTGCGGGCAATGGCGTTGGACTCGGGGAATCGCAGAAGGAGGCGATGCGTGTTGACGCTTTTCCCCTCCTCGTTGGTGTCAAGGGCGGGAATGGTTTTGAATCGGAGGCCACAGTGGAAGGACTCTCCGTTCCAAAACAACTCAGTGAGGTATCTGGTGACGGGCGTCATCGTGCTTTTTGGGGAACGGATTAGATGACGGATCGTCCGGGTGAGCGGTTGACGGATCGACAGAAAGAGATAATGACGAATCGACGAAAAGGAATTTGACAGAATCGACAGAAACGAGTGTTAACGAATGAGGAAAGAGGTGTTGACGGGTTGACATTACGGGATGTTACTTACTGATTGAGAGAAGACTGGTTGCGAGAAGACTGGTTGGTAAGGATGGTGCGTGGAGAGAAGACAGGAAGGAAAGGGTCGAGGCAAGAAGAGAGGAGGGAAAGGGTCGGAAGGTTGGGAAAGTTTTTCTCCTGTGTGTGCTCTGGGAAGGTGGGTGACGTCGAATTTACAGGAAGGAGCACTCGGTGGGAAAGAGTGTTGACAATTCACGGGTAGAGGTGTTAACTGGTCGAGGAAGAGGTGTTGACGCGTTGACAGAGCGAGATGTCACTTGATGTGTGGGAGAAGACTTGTTGGTGAGGACGATGCGTGGAGAGAAGAGAGGATGGAAAGGCTCGAGACGAGAAAAGAGGAGGGGAAACGGTCGGAAGGTCGGCAAGATGGGATCTTGTTGTTGTGTGTGCTCTGGGAAGGTGGGTGATATCGAACTTACAGGAAGGAGCACTCGGTGGGAAAGACAGCTCAAGGCAGGAGCGATAATGGCTGGGACATTCAATGTTCACCAATCTTGTATGATACGAAATCTGCCAACTTGTATTTACAATCCCAAGGGGACTACTTAGCATTGACTAAGACTGTGATCCCGCCTTATTTACATGATATGTCGTCTCTCTCCTGACTTATGTCAAGTTGCGAAACCTGGTAGGGTGGGAGCTTTTAATGGGAAGCAATGAAGACTCAGGAGCAACCTCACACGCGATTGAGTCCCTAATACTCTTTCAACTGCGAGGTTGGACTAACATGTACAACACCATGGAAAGACAGCATTATACAAATACGAGTCCTTTTCGACGGAGAGACTGTAAGATGTTCAAGCTGAAAGTCCATGCATCATGAAATATCAGCAAACATGAAACAGAATTCTACAGCTATTACTCTAAATATGCAGGGTAAACCTGGACGCAAGTATCGAGGGGAGGCATAGAGTTAGACGAGATGCTGCAGTTAGGGGAATCAGGCTCCTATGGTGCTATGGTTGTTGCGCTGTTATCAGGGAGGTGTAAGCGATTGAAGACTTCAGAAGTACAAGAGCAAGGAGAATTAGATGTGGTGATTGTTCAAACTTGTGGAGGCAGTCTGGAGGATCATAGATGGAAGATGGTATGTTGGGAGAATTGTTCAGATGATGTTTGGAATAAACCGTGACTGACACCTGCATGAGCATTACAAACTACATGTGGCGAGGACCTCAAAATAAACGGGTGACTAGGTACGTGACAACTGCTGTAGGGAGGGGTGGGTAAGTGGGATACAGGCATATGGGAGACAGGACGATAATGTCGGAAGGGCGACGAGGTAGTTAGGTGCAACGGCAGGCACGGGCGTGATGTTGCCTAGCAACTTGAAGCATGGCCTGGTCAGCCAGCCAATGAAGGTGGGGGCGGGCGTTATGGTATATAGGGATCGAAAATGGACACTCAAACATCGTCGCCGGATGGCTTAGTGGTATGAGTTCTTACTTGTACTGAGCAGGTTGCCCGCAAGGGCTGGGGTTCGATTCCCCATCCTGTCCGCACTAGGTCCGTTTGTCATCTTTCGGGTTGCCATATTCGTCAACACTGTCACCTATAGTTTCAATCTACGTAATTAATCGTCATTGTAACGCCCCGCCAGGTAAATCGACAGCAGTTGTTGAGATGTTGGACGCCTTCGGGGGGCACTCGGTCCTAGGGTAGGCAGGATTCCTCATCCGGCGACGATGTGGGTGTTGGCTCTGTGGGTGTTGGCTCTGTGGGTGTTGGCTCTGTGGGTGTTGGCTCTGTGGGCGTTGGCTCTCTAGGATCATTGGAGGGGGGTGTAACAGCCTCGGGTTAGCGGTGGGCCTCCATTACCATACCAATTTTTTTCTACTTTTTTGCCCTTTCTTTCTTTCTTTTCTTGATGTCATATGGACGTCCACTTAACTGATTAACCTAGGTCATACCGCAATGCAGTTCGCCAACGACACATTTCAGCCTTGCGATAGAGCAAACTACCTTAGGAACAAGTCTTGAGTCACAGTCAGGCAAGGCAACGAGGAGGCAAGTTACACAGTGATTTGGTCCACGACGAACAAAGAGATTTTGGTTCCGACCAGCAACAATACCATTGCTTGTCACCCCAACTTCCCCAACCCCCGCCATCTTTCTTTGTTCTCGTTCTTCGTCGTCACACCCGTGCAGCCAACAATCCATGGTCTAGATACATCCCCTCTAGGGAACACACAGTGAGTGGCAACGTAACAAAACAGATAAGACAATAGAGATGGTGCTCTTTCGCTTGGTTACAGCTCCACCGCAGTATTGATTTCCTCAAAGAAACGATGGACAAACTTCACCATTGGCGCGAAAGAGATCGCGTGTGTCTTTCTTCCTGTCTTTATCACCAGGCGTCTTTGGTCCAACATCAATCTCGGCTGGCCTTTGAGTGTATTCTACCTTGGTCATCGAGAGTCGAGCCACATCATCGTGACAACGTTCTAAGCGACCCGTCCTTTGGGCTCACTCGTCCTTTATTCTAACAAACCTCGTCACTCAATATTCAGTCGTTACCTCGAAGTCTTCTATTCTGTACACATTCTCAATTCTTACATCTCGTTTTGACCTTTATACACCTCCTCGTTAGTAAGGAACATTCCAATCATTCCAATCATTTTTTTGTTTATTGACGACCTCTCTGCGCTGACTCCCGGTGCAGAACGAGACCAAGTTTCTCGCCAACTACAACATTTCATATAACCTAGCATCTCCAAACTTTAAGGAAGAGCGATTCGGTCAACTCAAGACATATCAAGCCCTCAAGTGGATGACAACTAATTCACGGAGCGCATCTTCGGGATCCCAACGAAGTGTACACACGCGCACCCGCAAGACGACCCGGGGCATTTCTGGCGGTGAAACGAGCTTCCTCTCACGGGTACTCGGAAACCTCCGCAGACACTCTCACGAGGTCAACGAGCCCACTAAGAGCGATGAGACACCAGAGTGGGCGAATCAGTATCATATTACGCATCGACCTGACCGTCCACACTTCGACCAGGCAAAGGCTCGGAGGCTGAGGGATTCGCAGATTGAACGAAAACTCGAACGGATACATAGACCGCCGCTCCAAGCGATTCATCCCCCTGCAAACTCAACGATGGTTAACTACAGCATGCCTTCACATTCACCGATGAGTGGCAGGCTTGAACATAGTCCAACGTTTCAGATCCAGCCCAAAACTTATGTCCCTGGCAGAGAAAGCATACGGACCGAACAGTCCGCGTTGGAAGACTCAAGTCGGCAAACGACGATGAACTTATGGCTGGACGTAGGCCCAGACGACTACCCAACCATACCACCGGCTGGGCAGGACGCGAAACTATCGAATGATGGGAATGGAGAGCTCTTCGACCTGAATTCAGACAGGCGTGATACAGTCGCATCAGTATACACGTCAGGCGATGGTTACTCGTCGAGTGTCAGTTCACCTACGTCCTTTCAAGAGGCAGATACAAGATACTCCAATTCTGATGATAGAATGTGCCCAAATCCTGGATGTCGAAACCCGCTCAGAACCCCTTGGGACATCGAAGACAACTTATGCACTAAATGTCGAAACGAGTTCCAACACATGAGCATATTTCCAAATGATACTGCCGACAATATTTCAGAATACGATTCTGAAGTCGAATTCAAGACGGCGACGCGCAGCGATCTGCGGAAATCCAGGCCCATCGAGACAAAGATAGAGAGAAGTAAATCAAAAGCAGGTCGTACTGGGAGTAATGCTCAAAAATCAGAACCTCACACGCCAAAGCGGATACACTCGAGGAGATCTCCTCGAGCCGGTCGAGGTGGCGCTGATGAGGTCCAAAGCGACTGTGACACGCCGACTGCGAAATCAAAGAAGCTTCCCGTAAGCCAATATCAACAAACGTACTCTGATACCGCCGATGGCACACTGAGCGATTCCGCCGTTACGTCGCCCAAGTCTCGCCAGTTTCCACGACGACAGAGAGAACCATCCGGTCCAATTCTACAGCCCGCAGTCTACAATGCAAAAGCACCCAACATCAAACCACTAGCTCTGCGCTCCGAGTCTCGCCCCGAATCCCACACCAGACCACATACACCAGATCCCGTCGAAAGCCCGCCTCGAAAACACATCGCCGGTATCCAACGAGCCGGCACACCATCCTCACACAGCAGACTCGGCTCACCACTACCCTCAGCCAAACCGCGCAGTGCGCGATCCTCCCCAGGGCCTCACATCAATCACGGCCACCCACCAACACCCGACCTAACACCAAAGTCTACCCAAGTGCCCTTCCCACGCAGTGCCACCCCAATATCTCCACACAGACGCGGTTCACCTCGCCCCCAACAACACATAGCAGCACTCCACGCTCGCCCCCCAACGCCCACCAGTCCCTTCGAGCTACCCCGCCAACCCGTCATATTCCCACGGGCGCCCATCCAACACAGCGCTCAAAGCTCCCCATTACTACAAGCCAGCGTGCCACCCCCAAGCGACACACCACCACCTCTGAAGATCTCAAATGTACAGCCTTCCCCTGGCCCAAGTCGTGACAGTGGGGCTAGCCATGTGTCAGCAGCCAGTAATCCGACGCAGAAGCCGCGGATCCCTAAGAAGATCGAGAGGTCTGTGAAGAGGGTGAAGAGGGATTCGCTGTGCGAGATCATCGATCTTTATGCTGATGAAGAGGATGGGATGATATGAGATGATGAAAAGGGATTTATGTTGTATCATGATAAATGGGGATCAAGGGATGACAAGGATACGATATCGTTGGGGAGAGAGACGTATGTCATAGTATGATGGATGGGAGGCTTCGGATGATAAGGACGGTATCGTTGAGGAAAGAGAGAATGATATCGTCCCAGTGGGAGAACATGCTGTTGTCGGAGCGAAGATTATAGAATCATCACACTTGAGATAGCAATAATATCAACTGATGCTAACCATCTTTATTCCCTTGTAAACTTTCTGCAATTCCCTATACTTGAAGTATCACATTAATTGTGAAGGAACATGCATCCTGTAGCGTCTACTTGACGAAAACAAACGGGCATCCATACCCTACCCCTTTTTTCCGTCCAAACACCAGGTCCTTGTGAACTGTCCAGTGTCGAGAAACAGGGGCACAAATGGTACGGGACAGAATAGAACAGTGAGTCCTAGCTATGAGTCGACCGTCCATATCTCAAGGGTATCATAACCGAGGAAAAGAGAACCATCAAACGCCTGAGTTATTCCTGTGCCAACGCCTTGCCATGCAATATAACGCTCCATCACTCCTCCGATTTGCTCATGCTAGCTGAAGACATCGTAAAGGGATTCGGAGTCGTATCAAGAGGCGATCGGAGCTTTATCGGCGGTCGGAGCTTTATCGGCGGTCGTGTGAGTTAATTCTTCAGGGCGCTTCCAAGACTTCCGCCAGAGCGTCGCTTGTCAGACTTGGAAGACTGAGGACCGGAGCGGCGGCCTTGCTGCAGTTTCTTGCGCGGATTGTCTTTCTCCTTGCGCCGACCGTCGTTCTTCTTGCGCTGACCGTGTTTCTCTGCGAGCTGACGTTCGCGCTCGATCTTCTTGACCTCTCTCTCCCTCTCCTTCGCCAATTCAGCGTGTTGAGCCGAAGCCTAGTCGGTATCAACACCGCTGCCATCGCGTCTGTAGGCAATCACCCAGTCAGTATCCGACCCGAAGTGGGGGCAAGCGAACAAAGGGAGATAGATGTGTGCTGTCAAGGGAGAGGAAGCAACAAAGAGAAACATACGGAATGAGGACGTGACCCTCTTCGACCAAGCCGCTGCGGAGGTCCTCGGGGATCGAGCCGGCGACCTTGGTGGCGTAGACGCCGGGAACGTACTTGTCGAGACGCTGCCACTTGGCGACCCACGACTTCTTGGGGTTGGAGACGGTGATGAGGCCCTCGAAGACGGTCGAGGTGCAGCTGTCGAGAGCATCCGAGTTACCGCGAAGCTCGAGGAACGGGCAGTTGGGACAGCCCTCACTACGGAAGCGCTGATGTTGTCGTCATTGTTAGCTTGCGAGGCGCGAAACGCGATGCGACGAGAGGATGGGCGACAGCTTGTCGAGGTACTTACAGCTTGGGTCATGACGATGCTGCAGACCATGCAGGCGCGGGTGTAGCGCTGCTGGCCGGGAGGGACGAAGTTGTCTGCCATCTTGTTGTTGATGAGGCTGCAACCAGAATTAGGTAGGATGATCACACGATGTAGAGTTGTGGGGGAGTGTACAATCCTGGGTGGAAATAGTGGCCTTCGTAGGTCTGAGGCTCAAACTGCTGGTCAAGGATCCAGAGCCGAGTGCATGTGCGGGAGTACGCGCCCATGGTGGACTGGAGAGACAAGGTGCAGCAAACCGGAATGCAGTTATCCGTACTTGAAGCTCGGTTTTAGAATTACCTACCTACCAGGTAGGTACTTTGGAGTGTGAGCATCGGGTGGTGGGGTGAAATGCACATAAGCGGGCTAACCTCTGACTGCACAGTACGTTTATCTGATGCAT